GGGTCTCTTGTTAATTTCCATAGCAGAATACCTAAGAAACCCACACTGGTGCAGATCCATAGTCGAAGGAGAGTGGGCACAGGTAGCAGCCAAGCGCTGTACTGTATTTACTAGCCTTTGGGTATATAAACAATTTCTCATGGGTCAACCTTTCTGTCCCTTTTCCTTCTCAACATGCTTTGCACTCATAATAGATTTTTAGTTCTTAGACACCTTACTTGGAGGAACACAAAGTTTCAGGCTCCCAGGGAGACCTCAACAGGAACTTATTCAGACATCTCAAATCTCTGTAACTTTGGGTATGTGCAGAAGTGCCTTTATGCTAGGGGAACTTGAAAGTGAGACCCTGGAAAATCTCACATGCCTTTGAAGAAGACAATTTGGTAACAGATCGGCAGAGCCTTCTAGGAGAGGGGTTTTGCTCTGAGGGACGACCAACGACAAGGATGTTGGAGTAATTTCAGCTTCTCGTTACTCCAGTGAAAGCAACTGTTGCTCAGTCACCAGGCAGTAATCAGCCCTTTGTATGTCTCTGTGCCCTTGCAGGGGGGAGACTTGGCTGTGAGGTGCCAAAGTGTACCTGATGAGATGACACATCACTCCCTCTGTTGCTGTTTTCTAGCCCTAGGAAATAACGGCACCAGTTCCCAGAGCAGGCACGTGTTGGCTGTATTGGCAGCCAGCACTCCCTCTACATTATTCTCACAAGCTACAACTTCTGATGGGAATCTGCATCTTGTTCTGGGGATTATTAATTCAGAATTGGGAAGAATCTGAATAGTAAACAAGCGCTCAAGTGTTTTCAGACCTTCACAGTTTCTTGCTCATTTTCTCTTTCTTGTTCTTGCTGATGAATGCTTTAGTTCCCACATTGAAAGTGGAGTAGTGTCAGCAAGAGGCTGTGTAGCTTTGGGGAGCTCCCCAGAGGCAGGCTCTTGAGGGTTGCACAGCTGTGAGATTGAGAGTGTAGGCAGGAACATGCCAACATTTCCAGCAACTGCAGCCATTGCTTTGGGATGTGGAACTTCATGTGCAGTTCGTTTGTGTTTCCATCGCCGTTCCCCCCCTGCATACCCCCCAGATACAAAGGCATTTCCTAGTTCTGTACAGGATCAGCAGATGCACTCTGCCTCCCATGTAATGTAATCACTACTGAAATGGAAATACCACTGTAATGCAGCAACAGGATGTCAGTGACTTCTTTTCAGCAGTCTCCACTTTGTGGGGGGTACCTGTGTAGTTCTGTTTAGTACAGCACACTGATGCCTTTTTGCTACTTACTGTCCAAAATATTGTAGACTGAAACTACAGTGATTTTGAAGGCGTGTGGCTATAGTTTCAGATGTGTTTTGTTGCGTTTTTTTCCTTCACACAGAAAACTAATAAGAAACTCAGGAGACCAAGTCAAGTGAATTTCTAAGAGGCTAGGCACTGTCATATAGCAACATTTCAGTCTCAGGGAAATTGGTTGCAAGGATGAGGAAGCAGAGCTGTGTATCTGTAGTGGTTTGGGCTGGATTTTGCATCCCATTGCTGTCCGTTGAAGCATTAAATAGTGACTGCTGCTGGAGACAGGATATTAAACTTGGTCCAATCGCATGTGTGCTTTTTAGAGCTTTTGATTCTTAAGAAGTGAATGAACTCCCTTACTATAAAACTTCTGTTCTAATCCTTGTAATTTAATAATATCATAAAAATGTTGTATAATGTACATGAAATTTCTAGTTTTGACTTACAAAGGCAAGTTTAAACCTGCTCATAAGTCCCTCCTGCTGTGCTTAGGAGCTGTCTGGCAAGGAAAAATGCTTTGTCAGCGAAGCAAAACAAGTAATTAGAACTAAATTTCTGTTTCACTGGGAAGAAACCACTGTGTTCTTGCCACCTCAACTCGTCAATCTCATATAGACAGGCTTCAGTGTTTGAGAATTATGATTTTGAATTAGTCTTAAAGATTTTGTAAACTGGTGAGTCCTACTCGCTTTTTCTTACTACTTTCTCTCCTTTTTTTTTTTTTTTTTATAGTTCTCATTCTCATATACCCACCTTTATCTTGCTATGACTTCATACCCTGCTGAAAAGTTTCAGTTCTCTTCACACTGTCACTGTTTTTTTCCAGGAAAGAAACTGGTGTTGGCACTTGAAGGGAACTATAGAATACATAGGAGACATTGTAACTACTTAGTATGAGGCCGAGTGTGAGCAAAGATAGCAGAGAACCTGCTGGAGTGCTGTGCTTGTACAGGATCAGCGGACAGCGGCTACATCCCTGAGACTGCCCCTGTACTTAATTGAAAAAATAAGAAAGACACGGGATAGGGACAGCATTCTCTGCCTTCTGCTGCCAAGTGGCAGGATACAACTCTTGTCCACAATGGCTAAGCTGTCAGGCCTCTGCCAAAACCCAGGTGCCCTCATCCAGCCTCCCTGCTGGGAATGGTCCTGGCACCTGTTTCATCCTGCATTATCCAGGAGAGCGAAAAGTGGTCTGAGCCAAAACCCTGAAATGTGCTAATTGTTAAACATTTTGGCCAGTACTGGAATCTCTGCCTTTAACCTTGTCTTCTTTAGTAGCCATTTAGCCCAGCTTATGCAAGCTTCTTCATGGATATTAAATGGGTTTTAAATGCAGAGCCATAGAAATGTTGGTTGGAAGGGAGTTCTGGAGGGTATGTAGTTCAGCTTCCAGGAAGGAGCAGAATGTGGCTGCCCCAGAATTAAGATAATTCTAAAGGTAGCTGTAGAGATTTTAATAGTTCTGTTTCATGAGCAATGTAAATTAATTTTTTATTTTTCCCCCTTTCAGTGGGGTTTGGCAGAACCCTTTGTCATGTCTGTAGTGCTGGGTTGTGTGTCCCTGACAAGTACAGTGTGTCATCAATCCCAGACAAACGTTTTGCCTGGATTAGTGTTAGGAGCTTTGCAGTGCTGCAGGCAGGATGGTGGCAGCTGTACATCCTCTGGGCAGGCTCCAGCTGTTTTTGATCTCTCCTCAGTTAGTTAATTACATGCAATATTTCCACCTCAGCTGCTTCATGGGTTAGGAGGGGTACTCCCCAATTTAGTGCTCCTACAGAAACTCCAAACCAGGATGCCTCACTCACTCCCACACTCTCCCTCCCCCCTGCAGTGGGCTGGAGAGGAGAATGGGAGGCACAAAAGGTGAAGATCATGGGTTGGGATAAGAACAGTTTAGTGGAAATGGCAGTGAGATAAGAAAAGGAACAATAAGGGCAACAATATTCATGACAGAGAGTACAAGAAAAGAAATGTTATTGCTCACTGTGGAAACCCACAGTAGACAACACCACTCCCTCTGGCTTGGAATTGGAGACATAAGGGAACTTCTATTCCCCAGAAAAGACTCCCTTCCCCCTGCCCCCAGTAACGATGGGAGGTGGTACAGAATAACCTTGTGTCCTAGCCATGCCCCGTCTGGGCTACTGCAAAAATCAACCTTGTCCTGGCTGGAACCAGGACATACTGCTAAATTTCTGCTTGAATACTTAGCTTTATCATATTCTACTCAACATCAGGAATATATTAGGCATTTAATTTCTTAATTTTGGTACCACAGAATTTAAGTTGGAAAATATCTCAAAGATCATTGAGTCCAACCATTAACCTGACAAGTCCCCCACTAAACCATATACCAAGTGCCACATCTACATGTCCTTTAAATACTTCCAGGAATGGTGACTCTGGGGTGACTTCCCTGGGCAGCCCATTCCCACGCTTGACCACCCTTTCGTTGAAGAAATCTTTCCCAATATCCAATCTAAACCTCATCTGGCATAGCTTGAGGCCATTTCCTCTGGTCCTGTCACTTGCTACCTGGAAGAAGAGGCCAGCCCTCACCTGGCTAAAAAGTCCTTTCAGGGAGTTTTAGAATCTCCTTTTCTCCAGATTGAGTAGTCCCAGCTCTCTCAGCTGCTCCTCCTATGAGTCACTTTCTGGACCTTCACCAGCTTCATTGCCCTTCTTTGGACTTGTGCCTGATTTACTGTCGTCTGCAAACTGGTTGAAGGGATGGACACTTGATCCCCTTGTCCTGATCATCGATGAAGGTATTTAAGCAGGACTGGACTCAGCTGAGCCCTGGGAAATAACACTAGTGACCAGCCACGAGCTAGATTTAATTCCGTTCCCCACCACTCTCTGGGCCATCCACCCAGCCAGTTTTTACTCCCATCCAAGATGTAAGCAGTCAGTTTCTCCACGAGGATACTTTGAGAAACATTGTCAAAGGCTTTAATAAAGTCCAGGCAGACAACATCCACAGCCTTTTCCTCAACCACTAGGCAGGTCACCTTGTCATAGGAGATCAGCTTAGTCAAGGGCGACCTGCCTTTCATAAACTCATGGTGGCTGGGAGAGGGGAACGTTTGGGAGGCAGTTGGTATCTTTAACTGGTGTGGGTAACTTCTGAAATCCAGGTGTTTATTGACCACAAATTCATATATGGTCTATGTGCCTTCACTGTCTTTTATCTGTCTTTAATATTGGCATTATCAGATGGAATTCTTAAAGGGTGATGTGAACACTGGTTACATCGCATATATTTACCATGGGGAACTGTAGTGTTCAGGATGACTTCTTAATTTCATTTGTGATTGTGAACATTCCTTCCTCCTGTGGCAGCCAAGGGAGAGACCAAGTCAGTAATTTTTTAATTTGTTTGAAATTTCACAGCATAACCTCCAAGAAGATAGGAACGCTGTTGACATCATGGGAAAATACTCCCTGAAAGCAATCTATTACAGATTATTCTAGTGGAAAAATCATCTCCATACACGTCAAGTTAGAGTAGGATTTAAGATTGTTTTTTCTTCTCTATGGCTTCACTCTCCTAATTAGTCATGTGTCATTTCATATTAAATGATTATTCAAGACTAGAAGTGGCAATTTACTGCTATTTTGAAATAAAAATTACTTTGGAGTTTATGATTGCATATTCTGCAGCTGGATGTTTCAGTGTCGCATTGCCTCTGTTCCTGTTACAGGTACATGTGACAGCATTGCAGCAATGAGTGGAATTTTAAAGAGGAAGTTTGAAGAAGTTGATGGCTCCTCACCTTGTTCCTCTGTGAGGGAATCAGATGATGACATTTCTAGCAGTGAAAGTGCTGACAGTGGTGATAGTGTTAATCCGTCCACTTCTAATCATTTTACCCGTAAGTATCAACTCTGTATATCCAAATAATTATTCCTGTTTTTCAAAATAAAATAATATTTGTGGTTAGATAAGCATGATGATTTTTAATTGAGCGGCAGATAACAGCCTCTCCATGATTTTCAGTTTGTGACTTGCTCAAAAAATTAGTACTAAAAATACTCTTACATTTTTTTGACTTCTTATCTGACTGTTGTAGAAGTTTGTAGTCTTTTGGAAGCTCCTACCTATTTGCTATTTGAATTATGTAGCTGTTTGTAGTTAATATTAAGAATTGTGTTCAAAATATTTCAAACAGGTACTCTAGGGAAAGTGCTTTAGCTTACCGTGTTTATTTTCCTTCGCTAAATGTATTGCAGCTGCCAGTGCTCTGTAATACAATATTGGTGGGAGTTCTTCTCTAAAATCAATGTAACTTTTATTTTATTCGGAACTGATGGATGTTGTGTATGGTACACATTATTTCAATAGTTTCTATTTTTCGGGTGCCAGAGGATATCTCTGTACTTCACAATGGTTTTGTGTAAAAATAAGAATTTGGTCTTAAGTTAGCAAAGCTACATTTGTAGCATATATTTCTGGGAATTATAAATTTACAGTTTATGTTTGCAGTTTATGATACTTGTTTTAGGTGGTTATATTATTTATTAACAGTGAATGGCATCTTCTAAAAAGCAGGGGTTTGCTTCCTTCAACTCTGTTGCATTTAGATCTCCTCTGTGGAGTTATTCCTTACAACCGTGAGTGAAGGAGCAGGTGAGGCTCCTCACTGCTGCCCGTACAGAATGTGGTCCATGTAATTGAGTGGTTTGGATGTGCCTGGAAATCATGTTTGTAGCATGTGATATGAAAGTTCTTACAACTGACTTATCTAGCAGATGCTGCTGGTCAGTTTGTGCGGGTGTTTGGATGTGAGGGTCTCAGTCCTCTTTGCTGTGGTAGGGAATGTTCCTGCACACAGGAGGGACAGGCATGACTTTTGAAATGGGTTTACATGGAACACTCTCGAGGTGCTGTATGATATTTAAGATGCAGTTCTAGTCTGGGACCTATTTCATTGAAACACCACAAGGGAGTAAGTGACTCAGTAAACCTCTTTGGTAGTATTTAGAAATATCTTGGTGACGATATCTGCATGCTGCTACTTTAACATTTACATATGTTGAAGAAGTTAGTTGATTATTCATCATAGACTGAAAACAGGCTTTTTACATCAAACAGTCATTCCCACCCACACAGAAGACCACAGTTTTAGTATGAATACGTGCACAGGTGATACAGTGAAAGGGAATGGTTCATGGAAGTTGTAGTACATGCATTTAACAATAAACTTTAATTGTAGCTGACATAAAAAATAATTTAGTTTAAAGGAACTTCCCTTTCTGTAAGAGAAACTACAGTATTTCAGTGTTATGGTTAATGATTTATCTAACTAAGATATTTCTGGCCAGAGTAATAAATGTTTGTCTGTGGGTGCACTCACACACATACAGTAATTGTACATATTACATTTTTTAAAAATACATCTGTATATATCCATAGGTGATACAGAAATAGAAAGTGCAAATAGTTAGTGTGTACATTGATAGTATTTTTTAAAAAGTATTGTCTTTAATATAGATGCCTAAATTCCAGCCCAAATCAAATTCAGAACCCCTGTATTACTTCAGAGCTATTAAGTGATACTTACCTGATAATTACATGCATATGTAATGTACGCTAACAAAACTGTTAACAGTGTACATTAGAAGGTATTCTGTTCATGCTTTCATTATCATTCATCTTCCATAATAAAAGACAAGAGACAAGAGCTTTTCCAAGTTGAATATTTGAATCTCAGTATAAGGTGAGTTCTGTGAGACTTTTTCAGTGAGCAGACTGAAAAGAGCCAGTGCAGAAAAAAGGCTGGTGAGATTCCTTGCCTCTGTTGATATGCCTGAATACCTCCTTGATGGAGGTTGTCTTCTTAAGCTATTTCCTGACATGTTATACCATTTTCTGTTCTATTTAGTGAGACACTGTCAGATCCTATGTACTGTCTTTTTTCTGGTCTGTTTTCATATAGGTGAGTACGAAGTTCACTACAAACTCTCATTTACTGACTGGAAAAGGGGGAGAGGGTTGTGTGACCTATAGTCAGCATCAAGATCTATATATTAATTCTTAAACTGAGAATTTAAAAAAAACCAAAGAACTAGCATGGTCCTCTGAGCCTTCTTTTTTCCCTTCTAATTGACTTGACAAAGAGATTATTCTAAATTGCTTGTAACTACAACCACTTCAGCACTTTAGCAAGCAGGCAGTTGGTATATAAATGCATGTAGCACAACTGATGAATCCCTTTATTTACACAACCGTTTAAACTATATGTATTGGGTCAGATAAACAGAAGCCTAGCAAGAATTCTGCTCCATTAGTCTTAGTTTAACCTGCCAGCTAAATGAGGCACACAGACACTGTGGATCATTCAGGTGGGGGAGAACTACCAGAAGATAACTTTGTTCTCAGCAATTAACCCTGTAGTATGATGGCAGAAAACACATGACTGAGATGGCCCTAAGTGCTTTTGCTTGTGACTGTTAAAGGATAGGTACAGAGTTTCTTTAACAATATATCCATTTAAACAAATAAAGACAGCAACAAGAAGAAATTAATAAATCCCTAGCCTAAGTTGCAGGCATCTGAATCAGTAAATAAAAATTACAGTCTAATTACAGTTGAATAGACAACTTTTACCATTAGCATTTTCTTGATTAGGTGTGTGTATTTTTACAGATGTGCATATTTTTAAATCTCTTAGCAAATGGTGATGTAGTGCCTTCATTACGGCTGGCGGATATAATCCCTGTTGTGTATTTTACTTACCTTTCTTGGTCTATTGAAGCAATTTCAGTTTGATTCAGCAGGTCATTAGTCATTGCAGATTTACTTTAATGGATGCCAGAGCATATTACTAGCTAGTCTACATGACTGTCCCATTTCACACCCCTGACTTCATATCAGAAAGAAGGATGTTCATCTTCAAGTAGCAGTCCAAGCGTGCATGTACAGTATTAGTCAGGCATACACAGAGCACAGGGCTGGAGCTCTCACCATGCCTTTTGAGATCCTTCCAATTGCCCTGTTCAGTTCTGGCACCCCACTGCTGTGTTTCATCTGCTCCACAGCAAGCTGAAAAACCTGGAATTGCAGTACAAACCTGCAAACCTGCAGGGTGGCAGTACAACACCCTGACCATTCCCATATTGTGTGCACTGGGGAACACTGAGTTCCACATTCCAGCTCAGCCATGGGGGAATATGTACTCTTCCAGGGAAGGGTAGTGAAGCTCATGAAGGGTCTGGAACATAAATCCTATGAGAAGTGTCTGAGGGAGCTGTGGGTGTTCAGTGGAGTAAAGGAAGCTCAGGGGAGACCTTATTGCTCTACACTCCATGAAAGGTTGTGGCAAGTTGTGGGGTCAGGATTTTCTCAAAAGACAAGTGGAAGTGACCTCAAAGTGTGCCAGGAGATGTTTAGGTTGGACATTAGGAAAAATTGCTTTGCTGAAAGAGTAGTTAAGCATTGCAGCAAGCTCCCCAGGGAAGTCGTGAAGTTGCCATCCCTAGAAATATTCAGAAAACAAGTAAACATGGCCCTTCATGATATAGTTTGAAGGGCATGGTGGTATTCTGTCAAAAATTGTATTTGATGATCTTGGAGGTATTTTCCAACATTAATAATTTGATGATTCTGCGATTCTCCCTGCTTTGGTGAGGTACCTGCTTCTAAATGTTTGGTGGGTTTTTTTTTTGATACATAATGATAACTCAAATTTAACTTACAGAATCGTGTACAATTGAAAGACCTTTGGGAACCTTGTGAAGTCCTGTCTTTCGCACTTTGGTGCTGGTAATAACTCCCCATAGCACATTAATTGCAGATGTACCCCTTAAGAAACATAAGGAGCTGCTGCTTTCCTCTGCCAATTCAACTTCAGTGTCCTGTAGCTGAAACTTTACTTCTGTTCCTTGACTGCAGTCACATGAGATGGCCAGCAGCAGCAGCTTATCTGATGAGGTGATTATCACCAACAGGAGGTGGTGCCATTACACAGTCTGGCTGATATCCTCTATCAGTTATCTCTCTGTTGCCATTAACAGAATTGCTGTCATGAGCAAGGTTATCCTGCGGCCATTATCATAGGTCCCGTCATTCTGCTAATTAGTGTACTGTAGTTAGAGTACTTTTGGATGTGCTTAGGTTCATTAGGAAGGGGGCAGGTCACTGAGGGCTCTGAGGAAACCCTTTGGGTCTCATAGTGCTCTTGCCATCTTTTGATTTTGCAGTTAAAAATAATGAGGAATTTGAAAACACAAATACATCCCTGTTGCAGTTCCTTCAATATGCCACATAAAGCACTGTTTGAATTTTGTAGAGTTGCTAGTTTACTGAGATTGCCTCATCTCTGTGGTCATGCATAATGTGAAAGAAGATAGGAAATCCTTAGGAAGGTGTAGCTTCTCCTGAATTACATTTATAGAGGATAAAGTTTTTTTGGGTGTAAGATCAATAGCACAAGACACTATCTGAGCTTTGAACATAAGCTGCATGTTTAATTTATGGTTAATGATAAAAATCTAAATGAGCTAGAAGTGGTGGTGCTGGTTTGCTATGGGACAACACTTACATGTAACTAAATGCAGGCATTCCTTTTTCATGGCATCTTGCAGTTATTTATGTTGCCAGCAACCAGGCTTGGAATTTCCTTGTTAATGCAGAATGTATTCTTACTGCGATTTGTTGACTCATGTTATGAAATGCTAGCAGGTTGAGAGGTTCTTGTATTTGATTTTAAAATAAGTTGGCTCATCTGAGCATTAAAAAGCAAGAAATGCAAATAAATTCAGCGAAATGTAGTGCAATGTCTTTGCTCAGACTCACACAGAATGACAGATCAGGGTATACCATGACAGCATCTTTTCATCTGGATAAGGAATACCGTGTTGAGAATTATTAAAA